ACTCAGTACAATAAGACAATCATCAGATTTGGACTTAGTTTAAAAATGACCCAGAAGGATAAGATGTTTAATATTTAGATACATTTGGTAAGTAAAGAGAACTGCAGAGTTTTGCAGATCATCTCAGGAGACTTTGAAGTGAAGAAGGATTTGGGCTGAGACTCAGTACAATAAGACAATCATCAGATTTGGACTTAGTTTAAAAATGACCCAGAATGATAAGATGTTTAATATTTGGATAAATTTGGTAAGTAAAGAGAACTGCAGAGTTTTTGCAGATCATCTCAGGAGACTTTGAAGTGAAGAAGGATTTGGGCTGAGACTCAGTACAATTAGACAATCATCAGATTTGGACTTAGTTTAAAAATGACCCAGAAGGATAAGATGTTTAATATTTGGATACATTTGGTAAGTAAAGAGAACTTTACGCCAATCGTGGATATTAATCTTGTTTGTGTAAATCTTGCAGTGTTTGAATTGGAGCTGAAGAAACATTGTTCAATTTTGGGAACATCTTCAAGGATTTCATCGATGACGTTCCGATGGATGGATGGATGGATGGATGGGTGACAAGGAGGAGAATAGGAAGTTGGGGAAAATCGATCGGGGGATGATGGCGCGCAGGACCTTCCCCAAACCGCTCGGATCGAACGCACAGTGAGAAGCCCTCGCCCTGCATCGCAACAGCGTTTTCAGCACATTGATTACGAGAAAGGAGTTGGGAGAGCCATAATAATCTACCTACAAACATCAATCGAGAACAACAGCTTTTCTTTATATCTCTCTCTCTCAACCATTTGCGAAACAATCGACTTCCGGGTTTTTTAGGAAGTCGTTGTAGTTTATCTTCTCTGGATAAGGCGGCTGTGGTGGTGGTGGTGGGGAATTTTTTAGATATGGTTTTGGGACCGTTTAAAGGGGGCCGCGAGGGTAAAACGGCCGCAATGGTGGCGCGAACCCCGTCCACTTTCGAAATTCGCACCGATCTGTTTACGGTGGAGAACCGGAAGATGTCGGACGGCGTCCAGACCCAACAAACAGCTGACTTCGATGCTCTGGCCGTCAAGAATTTCAGGGAGTATTTGCGCATTCCCAGCGTCCATCCGAACATCAATTACGGTAAGCGATTCTATCTACCGTCAATACTTTGCTATTGTTTTAATGCACAATTGTTTAATCTTTGCACAATCATATTGTTATCATCTATTTGAACAGTGAATTTCTCATACAATTGATTAATTTATATTATTGTTCAAATATGTTCTAATTATCTATACTCATTGTTTCTCAATTAATTAACAATTTTAATAGTAAACATATTTTATTTTTCCAATATTCCATTAAGTGTTAAAAAATGCTTCTCAAAGTCTCATTCAGTTACATTTAATTAACTAAATAATGAGAAATCTTGAAATATGTCTAATCTTATTGTTAATTCTTTGCAGATGATTGCATCAAGTTCCTCGAAGGACAAGCGATTGGTATGGGTCTTCCCTACAAGGTTTACCATACAGCAGCCACCAAGCCTGTGTTTATCATGACCTGGGAGGGTACAGAACCGAATGCGCCGAGCGTGATGTTGAACAGCCACATGGACGTTGTTCCCGTCTTCGAGGAGAACTGGACGCATAAACCCTTCGGCGCAGAGATGGACGCGGATGGTAAGATTTACGCCCGCGGCGCCCAAGACATGAAGTGCGTCGGCATCCAATACCTGGAAACTATCAGACGTCTGAAGACCACCGGAATTCGTCTAAAGAGGACCATCCATTGCATCTTCGTCCCCGACGAGGAGATGGGCGGAATCGAGGGTATGCGTAGGTTCGTGAAGACGGACTTTTTCAAATCTTTGAACGTCGGCTTCGCTTTGGACGAGGGCATGACCAGTGAGACGGACGAATTTCTCCTGTACTACGGAGAGAGAACAGTTTGGACCGTAGTGTTCAGGTGTCCGGGACAAACGGGACACGGATCTCTGTTGCTCGATAATACAGCCGCAGAGAAGATGCGACACCTTCTCGACCGGATCTACGATTTTCGCGAGAAGGAGAAGCAAAAGTTGGAGAACAATCCGGAGATGACCATCGGCGATGTCACGACCGTAAATGTCACCATCATGCAGGTAATTGTTCATTTAACTTTTGAGGTTTACGATGTTAAATTAATGATGTTGACGTAGGGTGGAGTACAATCAAACGTGCTTCCTGCAGAGTTCGTAGTCACGATGGACTGTCGTATTCCTGTTACTGTTGATCACGAGAAATGGTTTGAAACTCTGCAGCGTTGGTGCAAAGAAGCTGGAAAGGATGTAGCCATGGAGAATAGACCATTGGCTCCTCTAGTTCAACCCACTAAATTGGATGAATCCAACAAGTACTGGATGACTTTCAAGAGCACCATAGACAAGCTGTAAGTAGAAAATGCTCACAGCACGCCGCCAACGTTGGTTGCCTATAATGCACTATTGTATTGTATACCTGTATTTCTTCTTGCAGCGGTTTGAAGATGACCCCGCGCATCTTCCCAGGAGGAACGGACAGCCGTTACCTGAGGCAACTCGGGATCCCCGCCCTCGGTTTCTCACCCATCAACAATACACCTGTCCTTTTGCACGACGACGACGAATACTTGAACGCCGACGTCTTCCTCAAAGGCATCGAGATCTACTGCAAACTCGTCTCAGCTATATCCAACGTCGATTCCGACTAGGATCAATAATAATTGCCAATGATCAGAAAGTGCTGAATGCACACAAACACACACACATCATAATGTATGCAATTGTTATTAATCTATCTATCTTTTTAGAATGAGTGGCAATTGGATGTATTATAAACATATATATATTAAGAAAAAGGTGAATTGGAAACTGGGGGAACACAAATTGATTAAGAATAATATTGTATTGGATTTAATGGTGGAAGAGGATTACTTGATTATTTTACCACTCGTTCTGTTCTGAATTATACACGTGAAGGATCAAAAATATTATTAATTTCTTCAGGTCACAATCACATAATTCTCATATTTCGATATTTCCATTTGTATTTTACACAACATTTACTTTTGCATAACAATTTAATTTGTTATTTTACAAGTTGCAAGTAAATTGTAAGAATGGAAATATCTCATATTTTAGTTGTGTTTGCATATAAATCTTTCAATTAATTGATGTAAATTCGCTTATTTTTGAGATTTATATGCAATCATTTCATTAATTAGTGAATTGTAGTGATGTTTTCATTTGGAAATACTGGAGGAAACTTCTGGGTGACAAGAAGCGGACTCCCCTCGGCCGAAAGCAAAGTGGACTCTACCAATGGGACTCTGAATCGATTTTTATTATGGGCACGATTTTGCATGAACTTCCGGAAAAGCGGAAAACCCTTTTTCCGACGTACTTTTACGATGCGAATTCAACAGAAATTCGAAACGGGAAAGTCGAGTTTCCGTTGGGAATCGATTTTGGTTGCGTCGATAAAACTATCATCTTAGGCTATTTTCAAAGCACGTCCGCCATTACGTGTTGTTGTTGTTGCAGTTCCCGGTAAAAAAAAGTGTTTATTTACATTTTTTTTATATTGTATTTGGTTTATTTTGATTTTGGTGTGTAATTTGGGGGGGAAAAAAAGGTCGGAAAATGTCGCTCGGTTTCGGCGATTGGCGGGAAACGGGTTGTCTCTTTGCATATTATTATTATTATTTGAAATGTCGAAAAGAGCGGCCATGTGCATGTCTTCGTCGGCGTCGGCGATGATGGCCGAATCTTCGATTGTTTTGTTGACTCGTGAGTTCGGGCGGCCATGATGGTGCGTAGACCAATCGGAGTCCGGCGGCTGCGGCCACGTGACCGGGCCGCGCCAATAGCGCGCGTCCGATTTGAAATCCCTCTCCGCCGGCCGTCCTTCTCCAGCCTTCAACTTTTGTGTACATTCGGTTGGGTGTACTGTTGTGCTGTCAGTGTGTGTTTGATAAAATTCCCCCTTTTCGGCTTTCTTCCCGCACGAATTTCATGAGAATATCGCCGGACGACGACGTCTCCTCGCTGCGATCTGCTGCGTAAGTATCGATGCGTTTTTCCGCCGCCCCCGACGGCCGCCCTTTCTGTTAGAAAACCGCCCGAATCCATCGGTTATTTTTCCGCTCGAATCGAACGTACGTGTGTGCGTGCATTCGCCATGTACATATACACACAACACACGCACACAAGTATTATCGTTGCCCGAGCAATGGACTCGTCCGTCGTCCCGCTCTTTTGTTTTCCCTCGGTTTTCCCGCGATTCGCAACTTTCCCCCCCATTTCCACCACATCCAACCCTCCCCATCCCCTCCTTAATACAATAAACAAAACGAAAATCGCAGCTCTCCACGATTTTTCAAGGAAATTCGAGCGAAAATTCTTCCCCCCCAAACTTAGAGGGTTGCGCGAAATTGACATCAATCAAAAAAAAAACGCGTTCGATTGTTTCTAATTCTAATGAATGCAGAGAAACGACGTTCCCGCCGCACCGAAATGGCGGGAACGTTGTTTCAAGGTCTCTCCATTTACGAGGGAAACGCATTCTTTTCCCGCCTAAAAGAAACCGAAACATTCCATTAGATACCTTTCAAAAAAAAAAGAAACAAAAAACAAATATTATACATATATATATAAAGAGAAAGGAAACATTTTCGTCTGCAACAATTGTTTTCTACCTGAGTAATCCCCCCCCTTTCCCTATTGAAATGTTTTCCGGAGGGGTTGTGAGGTCCTCTTTTTGGGGTGGAAAATTCACACGTATACTCGCAACGGGAGCGACAGAGATGGAGAACACTCCGTCCCTCGACTCTCTGCACCCCCTTAGGCGACGACCACACCCCCACCCTTTGTCTCTCTTCTTTTTTTTGTATTATTATTGTTCGTTCCCCTTTCCCCACCCCTGGATGCATGCATGCATATACTGGCACAATGCAGCCATCTGTGCAAGTCCTGAGAAGTACAGTCGCGCCATCAAAATGTAAACAACTCCATCTCTTTCTCTAGACATACTCTCTGCTATATATATTAATCAATCCTTGTTTGATACTCGTCGCCTGCACGTTATGCAACCGGAAGGTTCTCTCGCTGCCTTCATCATTGATTACGCAAGTTCATAACCTCTGGACGTATGCAACCAGATGCACGTTTATTGAATTCCCGCGAAAATAACTTTGAATTGAATTTTCTCCGACATCCAAAGTCGCATTCGAGGTGCAACCGATGTCGGTGATACGTGTTCAAATAAATAATTGATACATATAAATTGAAATTAGTATTTTAATATATAAGTTAATTTTAGAAAGTGGTTTTCTATGTTCGTTGTTTTGTTTGATTACTTAATAAATTACGTTTCGTAAGTTTAAATTATTATTTTTATTTATCAATTTGTAATTTGTCCCAAGTAAGATTGTTTAATTATTTGTTTATATTAGAGAATCCAATAAGATAATTTCGTTGATTTTAAATTTCAAATTGTTAATGAATAAAATTTTCATGTTGTTATTATGAAATATTGATTATTTAATTCTAATTGTGTGTTTTTGTTGTTGTTTCAGGTGAAAATAGCGACCAATAAGATTAGAACCTAGTGCCGTTGAAGATGTCCGCGATAATGGACATGTATTTCAACAATTCGGAGTCGATGTCTCTGCAGGAGATGCTCGATATTGACATCAAATCGGAGATCGATACGTTGATTGGAGGACACAACGATCTCTCCGGTCTGAACTTCTCTGATCTGCCACCATTGGAACTGGACGACGTGCACGACATCCGATGGTTCTCGCACAACTCCAATTCGAGTTTCACGTTGGACTTCAACGACGAGTCGAAGATGGTCAACCCGAACGTAGTGATGCCGGTGATCACGTTGGCGCAGAACATCAGATCACCGTCGCCGACTTTAAAGGAGAGTCATCTGGCCTTCTCGCCGTCGGCAATCAAAATCTCTGGCTCCAAGCCGGAACCGGTGACGGTGAAGAAGGATCTGCTGAAGAAACTGGACGGAGGACAGATAGTTATCGAGAAGCCTACGATGGAGAAGAAGACCACATCGACGATGACGCCGACGACGCCCATCATCAAGACAATCAACAAGGTCACTCCGATCCTCTCGAAGACCATCGTCAAAGCCGTGACCGGAAAGGCACCCACATTGCTCACGTTCAGAAACACCGTCGGTAGCAGGCAGATGAACTCTCCGGTTACGGTCGCCCATTTGACGAATCTGGGAACGGTCCGGACGATAGCGGCCAACCATCACGGCAGGAAGCAGCAATTCGGTAATCACAACAACAACAATCATCATCACAATAGCAGAGTGTACGAGGACGACGCGAAGAGCTTCCCCAAGCCTGCGTACTCCTACAGTTGTCTGATCGCTATGGCGCTGAAGAACAGCAGGTCAGGTAGTCTGCCCGTCTCGGAGATCTACAACTTCATGTGCAAGCATTTTCCGTACTTCAAGACGGCGCCGAACGGCTGGAAGAACTCTGTAAGGCACAATCTGTCCCTGAACAAGTGCTTCGAGAAGATCGAGAAGCCGGCGCTGAACGGGGCGCAGCGCAAAGGTTGCCTGTGGGCGATGAACCCTGCGAAGATCAGCAAGATGGACGAGGAGGTGCAGAAGTGGTCGAGGAAAGACCCGACTGCCATCCGCAAAGCTATGGTCAATCCCGAGCATCTCGAGTCTCTGGAGCGCGGTGAGTTGAAGTTCTCGTGCAGCTACGACGAGGACACGTTCGGCGATTCCTGCGGGAGCGCAGACAGCGAGGGTTCAGATTCCGAGCCTGACGTAACGGTGCCGCAGAACGATTACATCGATGTGCGAGGCATGAAGATGACGACGCAAGTGGCGACGGTGCAGCAGAACGAGGACGACGAAGACGACGAGGAGGACGAAGAGGAGGGCGAGGAGTACGACGTCGAAGTTGCCGACTCCTCCATGTACGACGACGACGATATGGAGATCGAGAACGACCATCAGATTCTGCGAATGGAGATGGCGTTAGCGCAGAAGGAGCTCCTCGAGTACGGCAGGAACCAGGTAAACAGCACTAAGCGCAAAAAGCCTACGACGACGACGACGTATTACATACAAAACTAGGAGACACACATACCCTACGATGACTTAATCTTAAGTAAGTTTTAGGTAAAATTGTCCGCGCGCTTCGCCCTTTATTCCTTCCCTTCGTTCATGTATTAGTTCATCTCGTTCACGGCATTTCGGTGCGAAGGGCGAAGCGCCATAGTTTTTTTTTTCATATATATATATATTTTTTTTAATTAGTTTAACAAGGAAATTAAGATGCTGTGTAAAGTTGGTGATAATTTTTTTTTATTTTTTTTTTGTAAATAGGTATTAAGATATATCTCTCCTGCCGCCTAAAAGATTAGTTCAGTTTTAAGCTCCAATGATTCTATAACTTTAAGTAAAGCTTCATCGGATGGAGTAGACACATTTAAAAGTATATTTCGGCAGCAATTTTTGTTTTGTATTTTATTTTTATTAATATTATTATTATTTGTAATTTCGAAGCTTTAGGAACAACACGATATGCGTTAGGATTAGAGTGAACACATGTGTATAAATTTATCGAATAAGTTGTAAAAAAAAAAACAATTATAATATTGAAACGCGAGAAAACACGGCGAAAAAGCAAAAAAAAAAGGGAAGCCATCCAACAGTATTCTGCAATTAGTTTCCGCGCGGTGCATCTTCCGAATTCGAAACATCTCCGATGTAATCCGCGCATTTGTCCTCTTCAACAGGTGCGCAGATTTCACGAACTTCTTCTCTCATTCATTCTACAATTCCAATAACATTATTATGTCAAAGTGACAGTTGACTTCCATCAAATTGACGTTTAGTTTCTGTCAAATTGACGTTTAGTTTCTGTCAAACTGACGTTTAGTTTCTGTCAAACTGACGTTTAGTTTCTGTCAAACTGACGTTTAGTTTCCTGTCAAACTGACGTTTAGTTTCTGTCAAACTGTCATTTTGAAACAATTGTAGAATGAATGAGATTATCGATTGATATTTATATGAAATCGAATGAAGATGCACCGCGCCGAATTCGAAAAGTTCAATTAGTTTATTTCGGTTTTTTTTTTTTGTTTAGGAATCAATTATATTGTATTATAGTTTTCTTCTCTTCCGAGACACGAAAGATGTGTGCCTTCGCTCGAAATTCGCCGCTTTAAAAAAGAAATTGAGAAATTTTCGCAAATGCGCAAACGTTCATCAACACAAAAATTAAAAATTAAACGAAATGGGACCAAATTGAGAAATTAATAAAATTGAAGGAAGAAATTAAAGTATAATATTACGATAGAGAATAGGAAATAGTGATAGTTTAACTCGACAACAAAAAAAAATTAATAATAAATATGATTAAAATAATTGTAATGAATTAATTATAACATTCAATAATAGTAATATTAATTATTTCTCTCCCGAAGTACAAATGCATGTAAATATATATATTTGTTTATAAGTTTCGTTTGTTTTTTTCGCCAAAATTTTTTTGTTTTCTCTTTTTTTATGTGCGTGCGTGCGTGTGTTGTTCTCAACAACAACAAAAAAAAATTGACAATCATCACAACAAATGTCATGACAACGACGACTATAAGAGAGTGTTGTTATGGAGACAACTCGATGATTGATGAAGCAATAATTGTGTATTTATTAACTATTGTATATTATTATGAACATTTATGTACTATTATTTCACGACTGATATAAATTATAGAATTGAAGCGAATCTGATTGTAATCGGAATAATAGCATTATTTTGTATAATATTTAAGAAAAGCAAAAAAAATGTGTAATGGATGATTTTCATCGGAAATGTGAAATTCCGATTTTTTTTTATATATGATTATATAAATGTAGATTTAAAGTATGTGCATAGATAGATACAAATGTAATTCGTGAGTGTGCGTGGACGAATTATGTCACCCCCCCTCTTTATTCTCTCCCAATTCTGTTAATAATAATTAATAACAATTATATTTTGTGTAAAAAAAATAGTTTTTTTTTTGTCTTTCTTTCAAATAATTAATTTATCTTTGTTGTAAAGAGATTGAGTGTAAATGCGAAGTATTCATGTACAAAGTAATTAATAAGGCGGAAGTAGTGAGCCTCGACTCTCGAGAAAACAAAAGCAAAAACGAGATGTTTATTATTATTTTGTGTGAAGAGAATCGATTGGTGAATGATAAATTTATAAGATTTAATTTTTACTAGCGATGAATAAAAGTTTCGTATTTTTCGGATATTCCTAGTGTTTGTGTGATTTTTCTTTACCCTCGTCGAATCTAGTTTTTGAATTTGAAAATTTAGCGCCAAAAAGTTTGTTTGAAATTAGTTTTAAATGACATTATTTGACTTCCATCAAACTGACGTTTAGTTTCTGTCAAACTGTCATTTTGATCGAAAAAAAATCGATCGAATTACGTAGAAACAACGAAAGTGATCTGCTTCAATCCTGGGAAAGGTAAATAATATAAAAAGAAATAATTTGAAAGTTTCTAATTTCATATTTTTTTAGGTATTCAACAAAGATTGGTGGAGAATAATGGAGAATTGACATTGGACTGAAAACAAGTTTCAAACGACATTTGTAAGTAGTAAATGTTAATAGTGTTGCATAAACTAAATTCTGATACTGATTACAACCAACTATTCGTACCAAATAACAGCTATGAATAAAAGTTTCGTATTTTCGAATATTCTTAATGTCTGTGTGATTTTTTACCCTCGTTGAATCCAGTTTTCGAATTTGAAAATTTGGCGCCAAAAAGAAAAAGTTTGATCACGACAGCCATGTTCTCATTTGTTTGAAATTAGTTTTAAATGACATTCCATCAAACTGACGTTCAGTTTCTGTCAAACTGTCATTTTGATCGAAACAACAATTGTCAATTCGAATTAAGAAACAACGAAAGTGATCTGCTTCAATCCTGGAAAAGGTAAATAATATAAAAAGAAAT